TATATAACAGATGTAAATAAACTATAAAGTTAATTGATTCATTATTGTACAAGAAACTATATTAATTACTTTAAAAGATATAGTTTTGGAAAAAGTGCTACAAAATATAATACAAACGACTTAACTTATCATTAAAGTATATAATATAATACTCTCATATAATACTTAATTTTTAATTGAAGAACATATTAACAATTATGAATGTTTGAAATTTTTGAAAATCTCTTTTATTATAATATATTAGAGCTTTTATATTAAAAGAAAATTGATCTTTTAAACTTAAATTCTTTAAATATTGTTAAGATTTATATACATTAAAGTGTTTTATATAGGAGCATGCTGTATAGATGATTACACTGCAAAAGCATTAGATGCAGATTTTTTAATTCATTATGGTCATTCTTGTTTAATACCTATTGACCAAACTGTGGGAATCAAAGTACTTTATGTATTTGTAAATATAAAAATTGATGCATTACATTGCATTGAATGTTTACAAGTAACATTACCAATCACTACAAAAATAGCTCTTGTAAGCACCATTCAGTTTGCTGGAATTTTACAAGCAATAGCATTAGAAATGAGAAAAAATGGCTATGAAGTATTTATGCCACAAAGTAAACCATTAAGTCCTGGAGAGGTACTTATACTTTTTTTTTCAAATAAAATGAAATAAATTGTAATTATATATTATGTTTTGTAAAATTATTATATACAATATTTTATGTAATATTTATGTCTTTCTTCAGATTTTAGGTTGTACAGCACCCCGTATTCGATGTGCCAATGTTGTGATTTATGTTGGTGATGGTCGATTTCACTTAGAAGCAATAATGATTGCTAATCCAAAACTTAGAGCATTTCGATATGATCCATATGAAAAAAAATTAACTGAAGAATTTTATAATCATGAAGAAATGCTGAGAACTAGATTACTAGCTATAGGTAATATAAAAGAGACTGATACATTTGGATTAGTACTTGGCACTTTAGGCAGACAAGGGAATATTAATGTTTTGAAGAATTTGGAAAATCAACTTAGACTGCTAGGAAAGAAAAATGTTATTATATTACTATCAGAAATATTTCCAGATAAAATTAAATTATTCAGGGGTATTGATGCCTTTATACAGGTAATATTACTTTATATTCATATATATTCATTCTGTAACTAAAAAGTATATCATTAAATATTAGCAATTATTTAATAGATTGCATGTCCAAGATTAAGTATAGATTGGGGTACAGCTTTTGAAAAACCATTTCTTACACCTTATGAAGGAGCTGTTGCTTTAAAAATGATAAATTTTAACAATGATAAACCATATCCAATGGATTATTATTCTTCTGCTAGTCTTGGACCATGGACACCTAATCATAAAGAATCAGAGTTAGAAAAACAGATTGATACTTGTTGTGGTAAATGTAAAGATAAGACATAAATAATAAAGATCAATTTATATCTAAGTTTAATTGTTGCAAAATTTTTTATTTAAACATTTGTACATACCCTTAATTTTATTTTGCATATTATTGTAATTCCTATTTAATAAAGAAACCTAATATATTTAATTAATACTGTCTGGATATTAATCAGTATTAAATTTGAACATTTTTTAAAGTAAAAATTTGTTTGATTTATGTGACTAGTTCATACATACATGTTTTTGAATCTACATATAATAAAAATAAATATATTTGCATTTAACACAAATATACAAAATATATTGAAGTATATTTTATGCTACTGGATCGAAGGTAGTGTGATTATAGAAAGATAGAAAAGACCGCGTGGGCGAATTACGTCATACGCCCACCTGTAGCCGTGCACACATAAAACTTGTCATATTACATACTACGTAATAGGTGTGTATTAAAAATAAAACTCGTAATTTTTATAGCATGTTATCGAATTTTGCTAAACAAATTTTGATTTGCAAAAAATTAAAAATTTGAGCTTAAAGTTTCGAAAAAATGCTGTAAAAAACATTCTATTATTACAAGAATAATTCAGTTGCATAAGTTTTTAATGTTATATTTTACTAAAAAATTAAATATATAGATCTCTTCACTAAAAATATGAAACCTTAGATAAATTTAATTTTGACAAATACTTAGAATTAGTAAAGTACTATGAGAAAGATATTAAGAAAAGGTCACAGGGTAGATCACATAGCTCCCGGGGGTGGAAGGCTGTTTCGGCCGCACCCCGGCATCGCAACGTCAGTTGCCGTTCCAACGTGGCTCAACAAGTACACGCGGTATTGTGCAGATAGTACAAGTATTTAAAAAATGCACTAAAATATAAAAGTTATTATTAAGTTGTTTTATTCGTAAATATATTTAAAAAGAGTGCCACGAAATTTTATGCATACATTTATTTTAAAAAAAGTAATAAAAATATACTGTTATTTTTATATCTTACTTTTTCATTGATTAATTGCTAATAAACACTTTAGTAAGAAATTGTAAGTATAAATAAGATTATATTAAGAACTTTTCGACTTTAACTTACATGTTTCATAACAAGATATTTGCTCTTTTATATAATTAAAAATATTTAATTTTTTGATCTTTAAGTATTGATCTTGAAAATTATATTTAACTCAGTTACTGTATATGTTCTCTAATTCTGTGAGTTCTTAATTAAATTCCTAATAATATTAAAGGAATAAACAAGTGAATTTCAGTAGGAAAATTACATATAATACTAATAATATTATTAATTGCAAAAGGTATATTTTTTAATGAAGTCTAAAGTAATGAACGGAGATAACTGGGAAGAAAACTGGTCTAAACAGCAATCACAAGCTAGAAAAACAGTGCAGCGAAATAGCAAAAAGACTGAGAAATCAGGCTTAAAATTATCAAAATCATCTAAAGGAGCTACACCTAGAGAAAGAACTTTAAGAAGATTAGAAAGTAATGAAAGAGAAAGAATGAGAATGCACAGTTTAAATGATGCTTTTCAGGTAAGAATATGTATACTGATATTTATTTTTGAAAGGGAAGTTTAAATCATTATACCTTGTAGTCTTTACGTGAAGTAATACCACATGTGAGCAAAGAAAGACGACTATCAAAAATTGAAACTTTAACTTTAGCAAAGAATTATATAGTTGCTCTCACAGATGCGATATGTGCAATGAGAAGTGAAGAAAATTCGATGGATCGACAAGATGAAGTTTCTGAACCTCAAGAATCATCAAGTAATATGAATATTTGTTTAAATATGAACATTCCAATTCCTTCAAAGTCTTGTAGTTAGGGAAGTTTTAAATTCTATCTATAAAATAATTTATAACATACTACAATTCTAAAAACTATGCAGGCCTCTGAAATGATGATAATCGTTATGTAACATTTAAATTAATTTCAGTATTATAACTTATAGTACTTAAATTTATTAAGAAATTCTAGTCTGAAGTACCTTATAGATAATGGTTAAATTTTGATATATCGATATCAAAATAGATAAAATTATTATTAAATCAATATAGAATTTTAACTTTATTTACATTAATAATTCTATCATTATTTAATACTATTGTAACAACTATTGTGCCAAAGAATAACTAATATTTTCATAAAAAAGAGAAGAAATAATATTTTACT